CACATCAGCCTTTCAGGTTTGTAGGAAGAGCTTTGCTGCCATCTGCTGCTATCAGGTAAACAGTGCGGGGTTTTCTCTGAGATTACGTGATTGAATTGTTTGGTGCCTGAAATGTTCAATTTGTGTGGTATTTAGTGGTTTGTTTACCTCGATCAAACAAGTTTTTAAAGGAAAAATTCGGCCAAACATTTGAATTCTGTCATCACTTCACCTTTCACTTGTATCTATTTGAGTTTATTTTTTTCTGTTGAACATAAAATATTTTTGGAAAAAAAAGCTTGTATCTGGCACCCATTAACTAATTAAATCCAGTGGTGCCAGCAGTCAGCATTCTTCAAAATATCTTCTTTTGTGTTCAACAGAAAAAAGTCATAAAGGTTTAAAACCACACAATAGACAATAGAACAATGTGTGACATGTTTTTATTTTTATTTTTTGGGTAAACTATCCTTTTTAGTGTGTGTGTGTGTGTGTGTGTGTGTGTGTGTGTGTGTGTGTCTGTGTTTACTGTTTTTGAGGGACTACTTTCCTTCAAATTCTGTTATGTTTTTAGTAGTAGTGTTGTCAAGCCTTGTCAAGTATGGGTTTACAGTAGATTAAAGAATACTTTCATTCATTCATTTTCCTTCAGCTTAGTCTCTATTTCTAATTTCGTCACAGTGGAATGAAATGCCATTCTAACTGAAACCCAGTGCTGGGAAACACCCATACAAACTCGCACTCTTCGACCTATTTAGTTTATTTAATTCACCTGTACCGCATGTCTTTGGACTGTGGGGGAAACTGAAGCATCCAGAGGAAACCCACGCCCACACAGGGAGAACATGCAAACTCCACACAGAAATGCCAACTGACCCAGGCTGGACTCCAATCAATGACCTTCTCACTTTGAGGCGACAGTGCTAACCACTGAGCCACCGCAATTATAATGTGTTACATTAATCCTCTGTTAGCTTAGAGTCACTTTCACTGACATAATTACAGAAGCAGAACTTAAAGGCATCAAAACAAAACACCAGCACAGTGTTAGATATTTCTTATACAGTCATATTATTCCACATTATTGGCTACACTGAAAACAATGCTTAATTGCAAATAGTTGCGAAAAATGATACACTTTACGCTGAAGTTAAACAAATAAATGAAGTTAATCAGTGCTAAATTTAATTTGTTTGTTTAATTTCAGCCCATAATAATTGTTTACGACCACTCACCTTAAAGAATGTAGTAAATCCATTCAATCTTTTTTCTTTCTCTCTGTGTACTTAGTCAATAATTCGAGTCGTCAACAACAATATACAGCTGACCTACAGGGAACATGCAGATATCCTACAGGAAACCAGTAATGTTTAGTTTCTGTATGACTAAGGCCATGTCCTTATGTACAAGAGTATTTTTGTAAACGGATTTACACACTTTTGTTCAAAAATATAATTATCTAGACATGAAAATGCAGAAACACAATATGTTGTGTAATGCTGCGGTCACACCAAGTTTTTGAGTAAGTCACATGCAAACGAGAGAAAGTTAAGGGAGCACAAATGTTTTACAGTTAAATTGAGTCAGTTTTACATCAGTAGGACTGCAGATGTTGCTCTCTACCAAAAGACTTGAATGTGTTGCTGTATCTTTCTTTATTTGTGCACTTAACAACAAAAATAGTAGTGTAAACATACAGTGATGCTTTATCTGAGGCCCATTTATTCCATCCATTCTTTCATTCTTGCTTGATTGTGAATGTGAGTTTTCTTTATCTGAAGATTGTGTAATTGTTCTTATTGTTTACTGTACATTCCACTATACAACAGAAGTTAGACATATTCTCTGTCAGTTTCTTAAAGTTAGACCAGGGGTGCTTCACATTTATTTTTGTGTGAAATTATTTTTTCTCTGAAACAACAACAAATGTTATAAATTCTAATTAACATTTTATTTTTGCTATTTATTTATTCAGGTAATTTATTGTTTCCAGACACTAGTGCATGCATGGTGCATTTTTATTAATTCTATAATGTTTTGCCTTTATATTTACCCGTGAATTCCATTATACATGTGCTGTTGGAAATCATCGGGCCTTTATTTTATTTTACATTAGAGCAACTTTGCAGTTGTTGTGCAGCTCCATCTTGTGGCGCAGGGATCGTCTGAGTCATTAGGAGTTGAAGTATTTCAGTGCGCCCTCTAGTGGTTAAAATAAATCCGTGTGCGTGCGTTTTGCGTTTACTCTAGTCATAAATCGCTAGTTTCATAATGTTCATAATTTACTCATGTCTGTCAGTTCAGTGAAATGCATGTTGAGAAGAAAAAGAAATCTGCTGAATCTATCAGTGTTTGCACTATTGCAGTAAATTACCTATTTCATATGTGCGCCAGAATTGTTCACAGAAGATTAGCTTTCAGAAACAACCTGATTTAAAACAAACAAAAACAGACCTTATGTAGGTTTCTGATATTGAATGTTAGGTATAATATTGGTTTTCCCTGTTTTTTTGTGAGGGACTGTACTGTCAGAAATGTGTTTTTCCTCTGCCTGCAGAGATCTGAGATCAGGCCGGTGGACTGGAGATTCTCCTCAGTCACACATCACCTCTATTACAGTTAGTCTGTCTCTAGGATTGACCCAAACTATTGAATATAACTGGTGTTTATTCACACATCAGTGTGTTCCTATTAACAGCCTAATCATTTATTCTACAGCCTAACAGCCTAATCATTTATTCTATTGATATTTTGAGGATTTTAGCTATGGTCAATTTTATATACAGCAAAAAAATTCATAATCTATAATTGTGTGTGTGTGTGTGTGTGTGTATATATATATATATATATATATATATATATATATATATATATATATATATATATATATATATATATATATATATAATTTTAATATTTATTTTGCTCTTTGATATTAATATTGAAATTATTGCATGAATTGTTTTAATAATGAATGCTGTAAATATGAATAATGCTTGTAGGTTTGATTTACATTTTAAGTAATATTACATGCGCTCTTCACACCATTCACTAGCTCTTTTGCTACTAAGAAATTCATAGACAAACTTTGCAGATTATAACATAAACAGTCCAAAGATTAAGGGTTCATTTAAAAAAAAAAAAAAAAAAAAAACATGCATAAAACAAAGTAAGATTAGCAATTTTTGCCTTTCGTCACTTTTAAGCAAAGGATTTGGACTGCTTTGCTAAATATATTGTGTTATACATTTGTAAGATCAGTCCTGTAGCCAGCCTATTGAAACGGTGGTTCTTTTTTTCTCAAAAAGTGGATCTTTTTGCTGTTATTCTTCCAAATTTCTATCAAATACTGCATTTTAGTGACATTGTAAGCTCTAATATTTGCTGCATTCGCTTGTCAGCTGATGATCATGACCAGATATTTTGATGCAACTAAAATATTTCCTATAATTTTGTCAAGAAGGCTCACTATACTGATTTACCACAAAGTGTTTATATAGAAATGTGCGTTTAAGATGTAATTTAATACAGTTTTATAAATAATGTTATGAGATTACAATTTTGAATTAAACATTTTATATAAAGAAGTATAAAAAACAAACTTATTTTAAAAATACTTATCATCATGCATCAACAAAAACAATTAGAAATATGATAAAACGCTCACTTTATTTTGATGGTCCGTTTGTTGAATTTAAGTTACATGCCAACTAATTCTCATTAGATTATGAGTAGACTGTTAGGGTTAGTGTAAGTGGACATGTACTTGCAAAGTTTCTTATAGTCAGTTAAATGTCTGTTGATGGAGCAGTATCAGCAGATATCAAGCAGACAGTCTACTAATACTCTAATGCAGTGGTTCTCAAAGTGGGGGTCGGGACCCCCCGAGGGGTCGCGGGGCAATGAAGGGGGGTCGCCTGGTGATTTTCAAAAATCTATTTATTTTTATTAAACCATAAGAAATAACATATTTTATCCATAACTATCCTGAAAATAAAAATAGTCGTTTATAGTTACTATATACTATATAGTTACTATAGTAGCTTATAGTTACTAGTTCTATTGGATTGCGACCCCAGGGGTAATTACATTATATTAAAGGCAGCAATAGCGTCAGATGCATTTTGATTTTATAACATTAGGTTATACTTTCTGGCACATTTAAAGCACTGACACAAATTTAATTGGTGTGTCTGCGTCATTGCATGCAAGGTTTCTGTATTTATAACCACCTCAGAGGATAATGGGGGTCGCGAGTCACTGGCATTGTTATTTTGGGGGTCGCGGGCTGAAAAGTTTGGGAACCCCTGCTCTAATGGACCATCAAAATAAAGTGTTACCGCTAAAACTTATTCAAAACTAACTAAAAACATTAAAAACTGTAGCCTGTAGGTAAATAACAAACAGGCCTGCTCATTTTCTCAGTCAGAATTTGTAAATTTGAATAATTAAAAATGGAATTTGTCCTAAAGCCTTTTTTATCAATAATTTTCACAATTTATGATGGAATAATATCAAAAATGAGACAAAAGAGTTCATATAGGTGCCATATTCTGGACTTTGTCAGTGGGGGGGTCGGTCTTTTGAACCACCAGAACACCCCTCCTGGCTACGGGCCTAAATGCAGAGATCTGAAACGATTTGCTGCAGACAGTTCTTCAGTTTTCTGATATACATATATTTAAATAGATTTGAAAAATGATCTTAGATGAAATATTTGTTTGATTTATTAAATTCTTTTTTTTTATTTGCAGTATTTTATACACAAAGCTCATTGAGCAGCACAACCTTAAGTCTCTGTAAATGTTGGTGGGTGGCTGGTATTTGGGAATATTAGTGTTTAATCCTGTAAGGAAAAAGTGGTCCAGGTGCCATAAAAATCAAAGGCTTTTACTTTATAATGTGCTATCATACTCATAATTCTGTATGAGCATCAAAGTGCAAAAATCCCAGCCTTTCATTATTGACTCCACATTATTTTGTGATGATAAATGTTGAGAAATGTAAACATCAGGAGAGGATTAGTTCACATTTTTTAATAACATGGCACAATTTACATAACACAAGTTTAACTGAGGAGCATGCTGTCGCCTCACCCTTTTTTTGTACATGATCTAGAAAGGACTTCATTTTTTTATTTACGTACATGATAAACAGCAAAAAAGTTTCTTACAATCTCTTTGCAATACGTATTGACTACCCACTACTGCTTCAGTGGACATTTTAATGTTCGAGTTGAAGAAAACAAAAACAAGGAGAGAAATTAAATGAAAAAGAAGAGAAAAACACTGCACAACATCTGAATTTCACAGAGTTTAAAAGCGCACAACTATCCCTCCCATGGACTACTAAAATAGATCTCTGCTCATTAAAAACAAACTGTCCATAGCGTACCACTGGCTTGATCATCGTGTAGATACAGAACACTTTAATACATAGCTAGACCGAGAGGGAATCGTCCTCAAACTCCACACCGTCTTTGAGTCACGATGGGATGTGGTGTCTTTTTCAAATTGCCATTCATTTGACTTGGAGGTAATTCATTCATTTAAAGATTTCGCTAACGTTAAGTTCTTGAAACATTGGTGTATTTGTAAGGATTGTCAACACAGATTTGTATAGCTTGAAGATCAAGAGTTGAGGAGTCGGATTGAGTCAAACTGTCTATCTAGGGAGAATCTGCCTGATGGGTAAGCATGTAGTGTTGGTGCGACAGGAGAATGAGAGGGTTCAATTGCCACCGCTAGTCCTCTAGGAGAGAGAGAGAGAGAGAAACTGATAGAGAAAGCCCACGCATGAGTTGCATAGTTGAAAGAAGGGATGTGGTCTCTCGGACAAAACCATTCATATGCAGCATTAAACTAAAACCCGAGCCTGTGCACTCGCGCTCCTCTTGATCACTGCCCATTATGTACAGCATTTCAAAGTAAAGCTTTCATAACACCCATTTGCATATTTGTACCTTACATTTTTTTCCTCAATCAGAGAAACACACCAACGTTGCACATATCTACAATGTATTGAGGTACCTGTACATTCCAAAACAACCCCTTGACCGTGTTTGAGATCTACACTTGTCCACTTGCTCAGTGTCCTGTACATGTTTAAGAATACACACCAATGGAGGAGCAGACAGGGCTAAAAGAGCGTGTAAAATCCCAGTCTTTTGTACAAAAAGCAAACGCAACACAGAAACCAACGCACAGTCTATACACAGATATGATACAGCCTCAAGTGCTCGCTTCTGAGGTCTCATCGGGCCTCGATGTCTTTGTGTGTGTGTGAAGGGGGTCTGTCTCTGATGTCAGGCCCGAGTGGTGTAGTCCGTCTGGGGGACGACGAGCGTGCGCCTAGGGTCGGGATTAGAGGGGGCGGAGCACTGAGTGATGCAGTGGGAGGGGTTTTGTTGAGGATGCCGTTCTGGGCAGCGGCGGCCACAGCAGAGGAAGGACTAACACGAGGGTAGTGCATGCTGGGAAGTCCGGGGGCCATGAGGCCGGGGTGCGGGAGATGTCCATCTAGAACAGGGTGATGCATGGGGTGCAGACGGCCCTGCTCATAGTCCTCTCGGAGCAGGTGCAAGCGCTCCCTCTCTTCTAAATGCGCCCGCTCTTGTTCCCGCCGCTGTTCTAGGGTTAGTCCGTGAGGGTGATCTCGGTTAAAGTCATGAGGCTCGCGGTCCCGGTATGAGCGCTCTGCTTCGTACAGCCGAGGCGCTGCTAACCGGTGCAGAGGGTCATTCCGTAGGAGAAGTTCCCGAGCTAATGGATCCCTCCGATGGATGTCCAGTCCTCGGTAAGGGTCCCTCATGGGATCCCAGTGAAACGCGGGATAGGGAAACCTCTCTGCCCCTGGGATGGGACTGATGCCCATGAAGGGCGCCACCATACGAGTCCTCTCCAAACTACTGATGCTGTTTATGGGGTGCATGCTGGCCATGCCCATGGGCACTGGCATTGAGGATGGAGGGTGTAGAGCAGCAGGAGGAGGAGGAGGTGCTTGCGGTGTAGATCTTTGCTCCGGCGATCTCTCCGTGGGACCGTCCTGTTCCTCCTTACGCTCTTCTTTTACCTTCACCTCACTGTTTTTCTTCTCATAAGTGATTTCGGTCTTTTTCTCCAGAATGTCTCGAGTCAGGCCGCCGTTCACCCGATCCATGCCGCCAGGCCGCATGTAGGGTGACGCTGTAATCCGATTGGCTGGTTTGTCTTCAGAAACGCGGCTGTCATGGATGACGGGAGTGTCCTTGTCACTGTGATGATTCTCCTTCAGCTTGTGTTCGTCTGTGTTAGAGTCTTTCCAGTCTGAGTGCTCTCGATCTCTCTCGCGATCTTTGGGTTTGTCCTTGTCTTTGTCCCGAGGCTCGCTGGAAGAGATGTGGTTTCGGGATGGCTCAGATGGACGGGTGTGACCCAATAGAGTGAGGGGATTAACAGGAAGTGGGGATTGGTGGTTTTGGTGCCTCTTCTCCACAGGTTCCCTAGAGGTATATAAAAAAGACCATTACTATACGGCAAATGATTATGTGCTCGCCTTTTCCGGGTTTGTATTTGGTAATGATGCTACTGTTAATAATTGTCATCTCTCTGTACAACTATAAGAGTGTATGTGAAAATGCTGACATCTTGTGTATTACATGTTCAGTTTATCCTGTAGGCATGTGCCAGTACTTCACAACTAAAACTATATATAGTTTTTTACAAGGTGGCATCACAAACTACTGACCTAAAATGCACAAAACTAGTCATTTTTATAATGTTGTCAGTAAAAAAGTGTAAAACCAGACAGGTAATATGTTCCACACTGTGTAATTAAAAGATTTGGAGAAACTTATTTTATTCAACATAAGGGAGGCTGAATTCTAAACATATTTTCTAGGTAGACCAGAAGATCTAAATAAAAATTAAAGATTAAAACACGACCTCTCTGGACAGAAGTTTAAAACATGGACCAAACGCTTGTTTGTTTTTAAAGTCCAATCATCTTGTTTAATCCCGCCCCTTTTCACAGCACCGTACGACAGAATTTTGCACGCACAAACTCTGATGTGGCCGCAGCATTAATCACATTGTAATGATTAAGTCTAGCTGCAGTACAAATGTGAATAATCCTTAAACAAATCAGCCTTACACATCAAACAATTCACTAGCTAAAGCATATCTAACTCTTGACAAATGATGTGTTGATTAGTGTGTTGTTATAATCCACACACCGTTCTTTATCATCCTTGTTGACTGATGAGTCCCTCTTGTCCAGGTCCCGCTCTCTCTCTCTGTCCCGCTCTCGTTCTCTCTCATGTGAGCTGACTGAAGCGCTGCGCTCTGATTCTCCAGGTTTGAGCCAGGGCGGTGGAGTGGGGAAGGATGGCGGTGTGCGATGGAGTCTGTTCCATGGCTCGTGAGGGCCGCTGAAGTGCTGTTGTGCGCTGGGTGAATCTTTGTGGCCAAACACAGAGTTGGATGCTAGGAGAATGAAACAATGAAATTAATTAGATTTTTTTTATTTTATTTTGCTTCATGCGGAGCAAAATATCAGACACTCTTTTATCAGACAATCACATAAATTTCCCTCTCTTAAACATTATTAGAATAGCTGACATGTATACAGGGGATGGACAATGAAACTGGCCAATTTGAATGAAACACTAGCCAATTTAGCATTGGAGGTTTCAGCTCTACTGTGACCAAAGACAAGTCTTTGTGATGTATCAGGAGCCATGGTATCCAGGGTAATGTTAGCATACCACCAAGAAGGACGAACCATATCCATCAGGAGTAACAGTTGACGCGAGAGAAAAGCCATGTCTAAAAGGATGTCCGGATGCTAACCCAGATTATATCCAAAAGACATGAAAGCACAGTTGCCCAACTCACTGCAGAGTTAAAAGTGTAACCCAATTCTCCTCTTTCACCAAAACTGTTTGTTGGAAGCTCCGCAGGGTCAATATACATGGCCGGGCTGCTATAGCCAAACCTTTGGTCACTTGTGCCAGTGCCAAATGTCAGTTTCATTTGTGCCAGCAGTGAAAATCTTGGGCTGTAGATAATGCGAAGTTTGTGAAGCATGTATGGTTCTCTGATGAGTCCACCTTCACTGTCTTTCCCACATCTAGGAGAGTTACAGTGGTCTGTGCTGCAATATAATGGCATTCCTTAGGCCCAATACTTGTGCTTGATGTATGGGTCACAGCAAAGGAATACCAAACCATTCTGGAGCACCATGTGCACCCAATGGTTCTAACAATGTTACCTGAAGGTGGCGCCGTGTATCAGGATGATAGTGCACCAATACACACAGCAAGGCTGGTGACAGAGTGGTTTGATGACCATGAAATGGTCCACCAACATCACCTAGTGACCTGGCCACTATTCTTCAAGATGAATGGCTCAAAATCCCTCTGGCCACTGTGCAGGACTTTTATCTGTCATTCCCAAGATGAATTGATGCTGTATTGGCTGCAAAAGGAGTCCCTACACCATACTAATAGATTATTGTAGTCTGAAACTAGACGTTTCCATTTCATTGTCCTACCCCTGTACATGTTCTGCATTTCTAAATGATTACAGGTGGACTAAAGAGAAATGTTCAACTAAACAATAGTTTGTGACTAATTGACACTCACCGAGTGCTGGATTTCCCAGACCACCGAAGGCTGCAGTGCTTAATGAGGCCAGACCTCCAAATGAAGGCGGTCTGCTGAAGGGCTCTGTCAAAACAAAACCAAAGAATTAGAAAACTGACTGAGCAATTCACCCAACAATTACAGCAAATGCTTACAATAGAGCTAGCTAGTTCACAAATGAACAGATAACCCAACTTGTTTTCTCACTAAGTGTTTAGTATTTCTTAGGCCAGAGGTGGCCATAACTGTTCATGCAGGGCCACTAATCTGTTCAGATCTAGTAGATATTAAACCTCTGAAACAGCTATCAATGGCTACGTTTACATGGACATCTCAGTAATTGAATTAACTTCCTTAATCTGAATAAGGCAATAATATGATTAAAGTGTTTACATGAGTTGCTTTTTGAATGTCCCTTTTAATGATCCCGTTTTACATGTTATACTGTAGCATATAATTCAATTAACGTCATTGTGTCACCAGGTTATCCTCATTTCCTCTGGAGTTTCATGTAATTTTGGATGTTTTATTTGTTGATATTTATTGTAGTTTGGCACTTTCACTTTCATTAAGGAACATTTCAAGCATGCCCCCCATGACAAACGAAATATTGGATCCGACTATGAACTGTTGGAAGAGTGTTGTTGATACCGCACAGCGTGTGGGAAAAATCTTCCACATTTTGTGGTGCAGGTGTCTGTGGTGCTTTACTGACTTGATAAGTGCAGAGAATAGTGTCAAACACTACTGAACTATCCTGTCGCTAAATATTTACTGAATACAGTTACAGTAAAAAAAAAAAAAAAAACAGCTATACTGCATTCTCTTTACTGTTTTGGTCTGGCCACGCAGTGGGGGAATGTCACCTTACATGGCGAATCCAGCCATAAAAAGCATCAACTGCTATAGCTTGGAGAAGGGGTATACGTGTGTGTGGATTTAGGTTATACACTTTTCATCTCCAGGCAGAAAAAAAATCCTCAATAGGTTTGAGGAATGGAGAATGAATATGGAGGAAGATAGACAACTAAAAAACATGGGTGGGCAGTGAACCAGTTATGAACCAGATGAGCTCTGATTTCTAAATTGCAATTCTGTGTGACAGGTGTTTACTCATGTGATGAGTTAGTATGCAAAGTAGGACAACTGACTTTACAATTGTGAATGACAGTGTGTTCCTTGTAAAAACTAAATATTTTCTGCATGAAAATTGTGCAAAATGCAGAGATTTGTGTGTAGTGTTTAAAAAAAAAGTGTGCTTAAACCTGCAATTTGAGTGTAAAGCAGGAAATTGTGCTTGTAGTTTAGCAGAATTGGTTCCGGGTGTTGGTGCATCAGTTACATGTTGTAGTAATTGTGTCTGAAGTACAAGTAATTGTGTGTAAACAATTGGAAAAAACTGTGACAGGTGTGCAGTGACACCTAGTGGAGGAGCAGGAAGACAGCTTGTAGGTTTACCTAAATGAGGTGCTGGAGTAAGAAAGTTGCTAGGATGATGTGGAGGGTGTCCGAAAGGTGCAGCTGCGGGATGCGTGGACCCTGGAAGACAGAAAACATTAAAATTGGTTACAACTTATGAGCAAGTCAAAAAAAACTTCCTTAATACATATTGAGAGAAGTAAAATAACAGATATTACACTGCAAACATGATAAAATCAGAATGCTTGCAGAATGAAATGCCCAGTATATTTCATTATAGTATAACATGACTGGTATTTTAAGAATAATGGAATACAGTGATTTATATATATATATATATTGTGTGACTATAGTGAGACTATATCTGTGGTGCAGTAAAAAAAAAAATACTGTATTAGTAATATTGAAACTAAACTCTTAACTCTCTCTAAACTCTCTGGATAGTCCACTCACCTGCTGCTGAGAAAAGCGATGCAGGTCGTGCCAGGTCATGAGGGTGATGTATGGCTCCAAAAAGAGTGGGGCCTGGAGGTCGACTTAGGAATTCCGGTTTGAGGCCAAAGTCCAGTTTGTGTGGGTCAACCTGCATCTGCTGCTGGAGAAGGCAAGACACGAGAGAGAACATATGTGATACCTCTCATAATAAGTTTGTCAGTAAAGAAGGTTGTACTATATTCTGTTTACATTTCAGGATTTCTCAGTAGCAGAAGTCGTCATATTTGGTTAAACTTAGAGCGCAGTGAATCAGATATTACAACAAATAATTTTTTTACAATCCTTTATGCTGAAATAATAAAAGAAAAATGCCACGATAGTGTTAGCAAGACTTTCAGAAAAAGGAAAAAAGTAGTGTGAGACTGATGACGGCAGCCAGAGAGAATAGCGTCAAATTTACTCTCAGCCTCAGAGATGCTGCATTAGAAACACCCTAACACAAGTGGTAATTTGATGTTTGTAATTTGACGCAAAGATGATATAATACATTAATAAAAATGCATATAAATGTGCATATGCTTTTTTCAAAATCAACATATTAATAACTGTCTAGGATTTTAAATTATGATGACCGTCAAATTTATCAAAACAGTCAGAAAAGGGTCCATTATTAAAAAAAAAAAAAAGAGAGAAAAGAATAAGCATTTCCAAATGTACAGGTGATCTCGATAGGAGGTTATGTGTGCAAATCTCACCTTGACTTTCTGTTGGTGGTGGTAAATTTGCCAGGCTATATGAACATGCATAGCACACCACTTTCCTGGTTTCTGTGAAGACAGAAAGAAAAGCTGAGTTCAGATGAGGAAATTCAGATGAGTTTAACTGTGTCTAAAATCTAGCAAACACTCCTATAGAGCAATGTTGGGTGCATCTGACAAGATTATTTTCCAATTTAATTGAATATGTTTGAACTCTTTAAAATGATTTTTGGGAACGGCTGCAAATTAATTACGCCAAATGTCAATACAAAGTGTTTTCAGATAAGGGAGTCATATAGTGTGTCTCCTATAGACGGAGATGAGACTGTCGAGTCCCAGCGCACAGCTAATTAAAGAGACTGCGGAGTGGAAGGCAGGTGCTCGGTGCAAGGTGGGATTAAACTGTAATGAGCTTTTACTCTATTTCCTGCAGAGTCCTATGGGGAAACAAACCGAATAACTGATAAAGTAGTCTTACCCTGAGAACCGGCCGGAACGGATCTGTCAGCTAGAGAGGAGAGGGGAAAAAAAAAGAGAGAGAGCACGAGTGAGAGAGAGATTAGGGACACAAAGCTGTCACTCAGGACTTTTAATTAGCATCCGAGCATCACTTCATCACTGACCAAATTAAAATGTTAAAATTTCCCTTTCTAATGAAGCATTTTGTGGAATAATTAGGCCAGAATTCAGAGTATTCCCCTTCCTGTCACTGCCTGCATACCAATTTGGGCAACAGAATAACAAATACAATGGTTTGCTTGCCCATACTGTCATGAAGCACAAGGTTAAAAATACCACTGTTAGGGTTGCTTACCCGAGGGTCTTTCTGAAGAAGTGTGTGTGGGACGGCTCCAGGTCTGGCTGCCACGTCAAGAGGGTTTGAGGTCTACAATGCACACACAAAGACAAAACATTAATATTTTCAGCTAATCACAAGATAGAAAACCATCCAGCCTCATCTCTGACCCACTCTAGAGTTTATAGCTAACTGGGGAACATGACCATGGAAACTGATTCAGTATTCACTACAGATACTGTACCTATACATGAAATCACAGAAGAAACAGACCTGAGATCTGTTTATATTTAGCCAGATCTGTTCCATGTGTGCACAAGTACACTCAGAACAGCACAGGAGGTTAGTTTTGGGAGATCTTCGACTTTTAGTGTTTGATATGGTGATACCTTGGGCTGGAACGCTCCCTGCAGAGATCCGAAGGGCCCCGTTGGTGGGATGACGGGCGGAATGCCAGACACCGCTGGGGGGTAAGAGTGGAACAGCTGAGAAAAGAAAAAGGATACAAGACACGGTTACTCCAGGAGGTTCTTGTTTGATCGTGTCAGCTGTTTACAGTTATACAGTGAGACCGGAGCCTGCAGGTTCCTGTACAAACTAACAACTACGCAAGATCAGCTGCTGACATTTAAACAGCCCTCTTCATTACAAACTGTATCATGTAAAGTGTCACACATGAAAACACACAGCATATAAAACTATTGAATCATATTTCATTTTTGTTCTTTCTGTGAATGGATAAATGAAAGAATGAGACTACAAAACATCTATTCTGCTGCGTTCAATGATACAACCTTCATCTGACCTGCGGCTGTTGTGACATTCAACAAAGATTAACTGTGAGATGAATTCACAATATGGGTCACTCTAGAAACCTGCTCTCATAGCAATGACTGTTATTATCGCAATACACTGCATAATGCATGTAATTACTGTAGTGTATGTCTGTGTGTGTGTGTGTGTGTGTGTGTGTGTGCACGGGTGGGTGTCAGAAATGAATCATTGCTAAATGGTGAGTCTGTAATTGAAGGGCAGAGATCAAATAAATTAAATTTTACACAATGAAACACGTTTTATGTTTAACATGAACTCTGTAGTATCCAGCGAGGCATTTCAACAAAACATACTGTGCATCCAGACAGTATACACATCGATTCACTTTTTCCACATTTTTTTATGTTACAGCATTATTCCAAAATGGATTAAATTGATTTATTTCCTCAAAATTCTACACACAATACCCCATAATGACAATGTGAAAAAAGACAATTTTTTTTTGAAATTGTTGCAAATTTATTAAAAATAAAAAAGCTGAAAAATCACATGTACACAAGTGTTCACAGCCTTTGTCGTAAAGCTCTGAATTGAGCTCAGGTACATTCTGTTTCCACTGATCATTCTTGAGATGTTTCAGCAGCTTATTTGGAGTTCACCTGTGGTAAATTCAGTTGATTGGAGATGATTTGAAAAGGCCCACACCTGTCTATACGAGGTCCCACGGTTGACAGTGCATGTCAAAGCACAAACCAAGCATGAAGACAAAGGAATTGTCTCGAGGAACAAGGCTGGGGAAGGTTATAGAAAAATTTCTGCTGCTCTGAAAGTTCCAATGAGCACAGTGGCCTCCATCATCCGTAAGTGGAAGGTGTTTGAAACCACCAGGACACTACCTAGAGCTTACCGGCCATCTTAGCTGATTGATCAGGGAGAAGGGCGTTATTTAGGGAGGTGATTAATAACCCGATGGTCATTGTCACTGAGCTCCAGCGTTCTTCTGTGGAGAGAAGAGAACCTTGCAGAAGGACAACCATCTGTGCAGCAATCCAGCAATCAGGCCTGTATGGTAGAGTGGCCAGACGGAAGACACTCCCTGCCTGGAATTTTTCAAAAGGCATCTGAAAGACTCTCAGAGCAAAAGAAACTAAATTCTCTGGTCTGATGAGACTAAAATTGAACTCTTTGGAGTGAATGCCAGGCGTTAAGTTTGGAGAAAACCAGGCAGCTCTCATCACCAGGCTAATAGCATTCCTACAGCGAAGCATGGTCGTGGCAGCATCATGCTGTAGGAACTTTTTTCTGCAGCAGGAACTGGAAGACTAGTCAGGATAGAGGGAAAGATGAATACAGCAATGTATAGAGACCTCAGACTGGGGCGACTGTTTATCTTCCAGCCGGACAATGACCCAAAGCACACAAAGCCAAAATTTCAATGGAGTGGCTTCACAACAACTCTGTGAATGTCCTTGAGTGGCCTAGCCAGAGCCAAGACCTAAATCCTATTGAACATCTCTGGAGAGATCTGAAAATGACTGTACACCGTCGCTTAACATCCAACCTGATAGAGTCTGAGGTACTGCAAAGAGGAATGAGCAAAAATTCCCAAAGACAGGTGTGCCAAGCTTGTGGCATCATATTAAAAAAACAACTTGAGGCTGTAATTGGTGCCAAAGGTGCATCAACAAAGTTTTGATCAAAGCCTGTGAATACTTCTGTACATGTGTTTTTCAGGTTTTTTTTTATAAATTTGCAAGAATTTCAAAACTCTTTTTTCACATTGTCATTATGGAGTATTGTGTGTAGAATTTTGAGGAAATAAAGGAATTGAATCCATTTTGCAATAAAGTTGTAACATAAAAAATGTGGGAAAGTGAAGCACTATGAATACTTTCCGGATGCACTGTCTCGTGGCCAATCTGCTAAACAAAATGTAAATGTTATAATGAAAATGTTTGCATTTATTATGCAGAAATGTTTTTTTTTTTTGGCTACATGTTAAAAAACACCATAAGCTGTTCTCAGCACATCCCCAATTGCTCTAGAAATTTACATGATGTAAATGATGGACACGGAATAAAAATGACCAAGCTAGGTGAGAAAAAAGACATCATAGCAACTGACAAAAACATGACAGAGACTCACGCTGTGCCTGTAGAATGGGTCGACTTTAGTGGGGTATTTTTCGAACTGTGGAGGAAAGAAGAAATAGAGCTCAGTACACAACAATTTACTCCTGACAAATCTCATGTGGAGCCACGAAGCTCAAAGCAAACACCAAATGCTTTAATATGCTCTCCAGAAAAGTGTTTGGTTGGCAGTAAAATGGTCTCTGCCCTGATTAATGAATGTTAGCACCCTGCATGACTCTCGCTAGCCCCGTCCAGGCTGACGCTTTTTCAATTTACAGTGAATTATGACAAGGCCTTCCTCTTGTTAATGTGTATTACTCAGCAATTCTGTGAGTGGTCAAGTAGAAGCCATTTAGCTGTCTAAAAATAGTCCCATAAACAGTTCATTTAATGGGGTTTGAGTGGTCTAATCTGAATCCAAAGAGACTGTTTCCCATTCGTGAGTAAACAATGTAGCTCTCAAACTAGTTTTATATTCTCATTAGCTAACAGAGCACCATTCTCAGAGGTCTTTGAGTCTGGCATAGTTCAAAAGCTGCTTTTAAGCCTCTGTGGGCACTGTGGTTACTGTCGAGCTGTGTGGGAGTGTCTGTATGAAGCCTCAACTCACTAATCAGCTCTGCTGTCTGCCAACCAAAAGCCCACAGTCCAAACTCCATCAGACCAAAATGTTGTCATTAAATTGGGAATGAATAAACTAGTATTAAGTTCTCAAGACTTGGCTGGAACAAAAATGTATTGCCAGTGGCTCTGACTGCCAATTCTCAAATCAGGGCAGAGAACAGAATGTGGAGAACCATGGCAGAGGAAAAACAGCAGTTTTTCAACAAAGCCACATAATGGCAAGAGAGAAACACATGGTTACAATTGAGTGAGCATACCACTGCCATGGCTTCCAGTGATTACTGAATCAGCATACTGTACTGTACACAAATTTTAATTCTCTAGCTAATATAATGCACATGCGTGAATTCAGTTCTGTACAGTGCTCCCACCATTTTTAAGCCAATGACTTTCAGTTTGTTCAGTCCTATATAATGCCATGATGAGAATACAAATTGTTTTGATGAATATTTTGAGAGATTCTATTAATCATTAATGAAATGTCTGAATGCTTCATTAATGGATTCAGAATGCCCTGACTCATTTATGAAATGTCCGAATGCTTCATTAAAATGTTCACCAGATGAATTTCCACGATGGTGGGAATCCTGTAACTTGTATACATGCATTTGATTTCCATGTGTGCATCATTTTTAAACAACTACTCAGGCATATCCACCTTATTTCTCAACATGAAAGTCAGTAATTAACATTAATTGTACAAGACTACTTTAGTACCTACAGACAAAACTAGAAAAAAACAAAAAACTGTAAAACTTCTTGCAACAAATCAGTGTTTATGATCATGAAATATGTTAATAAGTATCATTTTGCAGTTACCATTCAGTTTTGACTGACTTTGTGTCAAAAATAAAGTGGATAGCATCCATCATCACAATGTTTATCATTTTATATATATATATATATATATATATATATATAGTTTTTAGAGTTGTGTTCCACTTATCCTCACATTTCTGGCTGGGGTACGCACCATGGGCGGTGCAGGCGTGGGCATGATGGCGTGGGGGAAAGGGGTGAAGGTGTGCTGGTGTGTGTGTTGGTGTGTGTGCTGGTGCTGATGCTGATGCTGGTGCTGATGCTGGTGGAACTCAGTCCGCAAGTATGGAGGGGGACCCAGTGATGCCCCACGATCAGCACTCTGAGATGCCAGGAAACGAGTGTTTAATTCCTGCCGGAGAATGTCTTGTTCTGGGTGAAGGAAAAAGAGGTTTGTTTTTAAGACACATACCATTGCAAACTTCTTTATTTAGCAGTGTGCATCATTAAACTTCTCATATAAAATATAACAGAGACCATGTAATAGAGACCATATAATAGCACTTTAGGTGGTGACTGGTACCTGAGTAGGCACTCCCAGCTGGATGTCCGGGGACCGGCAGAGTGTTTGAGGTGAGAGGAGGAGGTGGAGGCAGAGCAGCAGGCGACGCAAACATATTGGTGTGATGAGGAAGAGTGGAGGATGGCAGGGAGGGGGGGAAGGTGTGTGAAGCTGTAGGGTTCGCTGACAGGGGCAGGGGGAATGAGGCTGATGCCCCAGTGGGGGCAGGTTGGTGATGGTGCAGATGAGGGGCTGGAGATGGGCCCGGAGGCTTCCCCGGAGTGCTGCTTCGACTACTGCTGTGAACAAAGAGAAAATAAATGATTGTGAAAAACTGCACCTGCATTAAAAATAACTCCCTTTCCAAACTTTAATATCAAAACTCCTTTGTTCACTAAATTGCTCAAAGAGTGGGGAGTGTCTGCTATAAACTTAGAAAAGGATTTAGTTTCAGAAACCTGAAAAGTGTGCATACACTAAAGAATGTGTTATTCCTAGAGGAATTTCCCAGCCACACATGCTAAAGTATTTATCAGAGTCATACGCAATCTAACAAAGAGCTCTTTTACAGGCCGAGTAATCATTTAAATGCTAATTATATTCATATTAAAAGCTGCGCACACAGAATAACACAAAGTATAATTATCATCAGCAGTCCACTGGCAATATACCGCACTGAGTGGACTACACAACAAATCTAAAGGACGGCAGAGAAGGGCAAGAGGAGGGAGGGGAAGATCTGCTTCTCTGCGGGATACTAGGGTGTCTGAGTCGAGAAGAGGAAATGTTATCTACAAGCCGCCGCCAGCTACAAGGCAGCAGCAGCATCGAAGTGGGAGGGGAACGAATCAAACCGTCTAATCTCTCAGCTGGGGTTCTCTTTGCGGTGCTGTAAGGCGCACACACTCAAACACACAAACATGTAAGGATTTGTGCCTCATCTTTACTGGCGGACTGATATATTTTACATTCTAAAACAGAAACGTTGCTGTTGTATTATAGGATTTAATAGCTGAGGCTCTACTCAATCAGCAAACAACACATCTGGATTGTAACAGAAACTTCTTGCTGTGCTTTTACATTACACTCATTTGGTGCACACTCACCTCAGGCCGTTGAGCGTAAGGCTGCCACTGTAGGCTGAAATTGGACGCTGGTGACAGCGTGAGGGTGGCCTGTGCTGCACGGGTTGCGTAGGGTTCTGCTGGGCTGGTAGCGCTGGTGATGGGGGGTGGTGGTAGATACTTGGGGTTCGAGGTGGCTTTGGGTGAGATGGTGATTCAGGTGGGTGCTGAGACTGATGCGGGGGTGCCTGAGAGAGCTCCTGACCCTGGGATTGAGGCAGAGCAATAGGGGGTGACAGTGGCCTTAGTGTGCGCTCTGGGCAAGGGTTCTGGGTTTGAGCTGGCCTCGAGGGCAAGGGTAACCCCCTGCTGGAAGGGGGTGGCTGGAGATGAAGAGGGGCGGGGAGGGGAGGTTTGGGATGGGAAGTGGGCACCAGTGGGGGGGTGGCCGAGGAGATTTCCCGGGAAGTCTCCTGGCTCTTCTCTTGACTGCGCTCTAGGCCTGACACCTTGGGAATGCCCAGGCCTCGCAGCTCCTGGCTGGCATTGGTGGAGAGTGTGTCAACACTAAAATCTGGAACTGTAGAGACAAAAGAACAACAAAGCACTTTTTAGAAACCTCATGTGCAGATCAACATTTGATTTAATACAGAATGGAACATGATTAATGTGCAAGATGATGATGTGCAAGAAAAAGTGGTGTGCCACAGTATAATATTTCACATTTAAAAAATAATTGCATTGTGTTTTTTTATTTTATTACTTGATTGAATAAATTTATAATAGTGCACTACCAGCTCTAAAACACTTAAACTGAAATCATGAGAGCAACATCATACAGTAACAACAATTAGAAGTCTAATAAGCCAATAACATGTGAGGTCATGTGGATGGCTTAATGTCTTTTATCAGGGAAATTTCCAAAGAAAACAACCATCACACTGCCAAAAAATGTATAATAAACATTCATATTATATGATATTAGCTTTTTTTATATGTACATAATGCACTCCAATAAATAGGCAGAAAGAGAAAGGAAGAAATAGAGAGGCTTTCAAGCTAGATTCAGTGTATTCTCTGGGACCAAAGGCTCATGGGGGATCACAGTGCATATGCAACTCTGATTAACTCCTGTCTCTATGTCTCAGAGGAAACCACACCCCTCTGTGTTTCCATCTCCTCACACCCAGCCAAGCCTCTTCTTAGCCTGCAGCTAGGGATGCTGATTGAGCTTGAATCTCAAAGGCTTTGGGGATCCTGTTGGAACAGAACCCCTACGGACTGATGATTCCTCTCTCATGGGCCTAGGGGCCTCCCAATGCAGCGACCCATGGGGCCCAGCTCAAAGCATTAGGTCCCAGTGTGCAGCTTAGAGGTAGTGTGTGTGATGCAGTCATTAAAGGTCAGTCCAGCCTGCAGCACTCTACCAGATGAAGATCAATAATCTGGGAGTACAAGGCTCCCCTGGGGAATGGGTTTGTGTCAAACATCTGCCACATGACATTGGGGGAAGGCAAGACACACATAAGCACAAACACTAATATGAATGCATATACACGCATGTGAAAGAACAAACGAAATGCACACACACAAAGATCAATCATTCCGATGTGTATTCCCCCCAAAAAACATCCCCATTGAAATGAGAGGCAGGCAACCTCATTTGACCTGTGAAAGCTCACAATACCCTCCGGCTCTGGCACTCTAAGCACACTTTAACAAACAAGGGCAGATCAGCCTCCCAGCTCAGAAACAAGCAGTCCAGAGGGTGCAATAAGTCACCCTTTATCCTGCCTGAATAACTGGATTTAAGGCAGAGAAGGCTAACAGCATTCAAAGAAAAGCCGTTCACAGTTGTTTGTGTCAGAATGAGGGCTTTTATAAATGAGTTCCCTTCAGATTACGTAGCTTCAGTAGGCCGTCAACATCTGACATGACATGTAAGGATGGACATGCTCTCTTTACTAGACACACAAAAGTGTGCCCATCTCTTTTTCCTGCTCCGTGGCCTTCCTGTAGAGACTTTTGATGGAAAATATCCAAAGCTCTTCTAAAAGGCTGGACCACAGAGATCTCTGCTGCTCCTCCCTGGAGCGACTCTCTCAATGTACTAACATGCCTAAAAAAAAAAACAAGACGAAGAGTGAAAACACTGCTTATTCTTCCCGTAATGAAGACTCTAGGGCCGGGCAGGGAGCGAAAGAGATGTGTGTTTCTCCTCCCTGGGGAGTTAATTTGTCAAGTCTCCTTGATCCCTGGAAACAAATAAATGCAGCTTTCTCTCGCCTCAACGAAAAGAGTGAAGAGAGGTGATTTTTATTCCAAATGGCAGCCGTGGAGGAGGATGTTTATTAAGATGGTAGAACAGACCGGGAGGCGGACTTTGAAAAGTTCTCATCTGGTCACACACTGCTTATGTATGTGTATGTGTTTTTTAGCAGGATTAAGGTCTACAAGGCTCCTGGAGCAGTGTGCATGGGTGAGGTCCCAGCAGATAGCAGCACAGCTCATTATCCCGAGGTGAGTCCAGTCTGCAAGAACACAGCATATACAGCGGCTAGAAAACCACAGACAGAGCTCAGAGACCTTATACATAAAATGTGTTTATGAGAGTACACCGAACACAACAGATATTTCACAATTATTTAATCAATTGCAGTCACATCCTGAATGTTCACACAAACTAAGGCCCAATCCAAATTCCACCCCTCAGCCCTTTTCTTTCCCTACCCCTTTGTTTTGCACGTTCAAGTAAAGGGGCAATGGTGTCCCAATCGAAACACTCGAAACCAAGGGGTGTGAAAATTTCCCAGAACAAACCAACTACAACAACAGCATGTAAGGAGCAAAAGTAAGGATATGCACAAGTTAGTATTTTTTGTCATTGTTAAGAATTTCTACAACAAACAAACATATATATATATATTAATACATTCATAATGGTGTTTGTTTTTTACTGTCATGCTTTTTAAAAAAACGCAAAAAAACTGCTAAATTTCACTAATGCCTGATAATAACTCCTGTATAGTAGTCCCAGAACATAATTTCACATTCTGTTACACGATAACACTCAAATCCACTGTCAGAAAAGTCTAGTGGCTGGGAATGAGCTTTTACAGTGTCTGCTATAATGTTAATGTTGTTTTTGTGTGTTTGCGTTGAGGATTAAGGCCACAGTGTAAATGCACAGTACAGTTATAATCTTATTGGCACATTGTATGGTTATGATAACATTATATGCCTTCAGTGATTTTCTGAAGATAGATACCAAAAAATAACACAACTGGAGTAACTACAGCAGTCGCCATTGTCAATCTCATATGAAGCAAGTGATTACAATGACATATGATGACGTTTGCTGTTGCAGTGGTGTTCCATTTCTTAAGCAGGTCGCACACCAAGGCGGCACTCGGCGCCGCGACACAGCGCGTACATGACAGATTAAAGTATCGCAAACCAGACGCGCACATTCGAATGATATTTAACATGAAACTAATCAGATGGCGCTCTGTGGCGCGGCTGAAAAATGAACTGCGTGCTGAGCCGTTGCCGGGCGCCGCCGACAGCCGCCGACTTGCGGCGCCGGTGTGTGTATCCTGATAGAAACCTATGTTTAGAATTCTAAAATACAAGGCGCTGTGTGGCGCTGCGCCCGCGCCGCCGAGCGGCGCTTCTGGTGTGCGACCTGCTTCAGGGGTACCAAAATAGAATTGGAATCAGGCTTAAATTGTACCAGAGTTCCTCCTTCATATTATAGAAATCTTATTCATTTTCGTTCAGCTCGCAATACAGATTTTTTGTTAATTAAGCTTTATATTAGTTAACTGAACCTAGAACTGATTCCTAATACTTGTGAAATTACTCCAATATAAGGCTGTTATATTGGAGCATAAGCCTAACAGCTTACAGGATCTCTAACAAATTTGACCAGACTAATTTAAAACCCAAAAGTCTCAATAGAGCCATTTTGTACAACAAAGAACAAACATCTAAATTTAAAGATGTCTATACCAAAAATTGGTATGTAAAAATGAGGTATCACTGGAAAATGCACTGTTTACCAGTCTTATTTTTTTTTACAATGGAAAAGAACCAAAGCCCAGGCAAGAATGAGAGAGAGAGAGAGAGACAGAAAGAGACAGAGAGAGAAAGAGAGAGAAAGAGAGAGAGTGTGTGTGAGAGAGAGAGATGGATTTCATTTAGATGCATTGATTTGAGGAAGCTGTTTCTATACACTAATTATTAGAGCATTAAATGCTCACTGCATTTAATGCTAGGCCTTTTCAATGGCCTTAAAATGCATTAATTGACTCGTCATCTAGACGACCCAGTCGTTACTCGATTTTAAACTGTGTAATTCTGCATTAGGTAAAAGAACTCCATAGAGAACTTTAAGTTAAAGTAATTAAAACTAAATAAGTTTACGCATTGTCATTTGTAATCATAGTAATACTACCACGATACTTACAGGACCTTCCTGGGTGGTATGTGCTGATAGCTGATCCTTTTGGCAAATGCCAGTCATGCTGTTACACTAGGCTTCAGGCATCCTGACACTTCTACATCCCTTCCGCCCTGAAATAGCCCCACATACTCCTGTCAAGCTAGAGATGAAGTCTGGGGTTAAGGGGCCTTCCTTCAGTGCCCCCAGGCCTGTGTTAAACTCTTCCCTTCATTGTAACTGACAGGCCTGCACGTCTTCTCCGCCTGACGGCCGTTTTGCTGTCAAATCAGCTGAGCTGAGACTTCAGCCCGCTGGTAAGAGCTTAGACATGGCTATTTGTGATCACTTGGAGCAGAAGAGAGGACAGGGGGCTTTACAGAAAGATGATGTAAGTACCTTAGAGGGCAGCTACAAAGCCGTAGCTGAAACAATGAAGTCGCAACAAACAAAGTCTCAGATCCTCATGTTTCAGCTACAACCACAACACAGATTAGCAACTTTATCCAGATCAGACCCAGGAATGACCACAGCAGCGAGTTATCCTTACTGTTTATGAAGTTGCTCAAGTTCCATCAATGACACAATCTCTTCTAATTCCACAGTAAACACCACAGACAGATCAGCATTGAGCATAAATTCATAATGCAATGAGAAGCTGCTGAATCAGCATCTGATACACTTAAACTACAGTAACAGAGTACACCTGTGCTAGGTGTCCAGAACAGGTGTTTGAAAAACCCAAACCTGTTATTGGGACCATTTAAAAGAACAGCACATTATGCAATCAACATTAAAACATCTATTTGAGCACATGGCAGCTGGTGATGCAATAAAAATAAACTCTCAGCGCGCACACACACAAGACAGCTGATATATTATGGCTTTAAATATAAACTGAGGGTTAGAAGAGAGAAGGCCATGACTGAGGTTCTGACAAACTCATCTCAGCATGACAGTGGCCACATCTGTAATGTACACACATGCAAGCACACAACACACAAACAAAGGCACCCACATTATCCAATAGGTTGTTTTCACATGATGTCATTGATGACGTGCGAGACTCAGATGGAGGAACTGTTTTAGAATACAATAATTCATTGACAGCACCAATAAAGATTATATACAGGCCTAGC